TTCAACCTTACCAAATTTTGACATTACCAAATTTTCGTAAGGTTGCCAAAATTTTGGCAACATTTTATATGTGCTTACTAAAATTTAGCAACAAACTAAATGTAGCCACTTTTTTTTTAACTTTGCCAAAACTTGGTAAGGTTAAAAATGGTAGCAAACTGAACAAAGACCAAATAATAATAACCATTGAGCAACATGTTCCAACTATATGGATGAGATGATCGGCGGAGAGTGGAGGCGAATACCTGAATTAATTCACAAGAGAAACAGAAGGTTGTTGCCTGCATGCTGTTACTTGATGGAAAAAGATAGTGGAAGGCTAGAAGCCTCTCTGATCGATTTGCTTGATTTGTGTTGAGCTGTTAGATGGTGGATGAATGGATGGTAGAGCGGTGGCAATTTCTTGGCTGAGGCTGCATCCTCGCCCCAACAAGGCCAAGTCTGAGCCAAATATACACACGCAGGTAATGTAGGGCGAGGCCCAACTCTATGCGCGGGACGGGTCAATATTTTTCACCCTTACTCCCTCCGTCCTAAAAAAAGGCAAACCCTGGGTTTGCGTGTCCAACTTTGACTGTCCGTTTTATATAAAATTTTTTTATAATCCGTATTTTTATTGGTGTTAGATGATAAAACATGATTAATACTTTGTGCGTGACTTGTTTTTTTAATTTTTTTCATAATTTTTTCAAATAAGACGGACGGTCAAACATTGGGCACGGAAACCAGGGTTTGTCTTTTTTTGGGACGGAGGTAGTAGGACTCTATGTGGAGCCCCGAAGTTGTATATCACAGAGAATGGAGCTAGCATTACAAATAAACACACTATGATGATGACCTTGCGGACAAACTAAACGCACGCTACAGGTCCAGTGGCCCGAGAGCCCATCACCACTACTCTATCACACGGACCACGTATGTATGTATACAACTACGTCGTAAAATAAATTAATAAACCTAATATGTGATGTGATATAATTATCCAAATTCGTAATTCTAGAATATACTATATCCTGTACCAATTAGTCTAATTTTTTTTATTTCTTTTGCATAAATCAAATTTAATCTTACATATTTACAGAAGATGTGTCACACAATAATTTATCTATTTTTTTTAAAAAAAAATAACTACTTTGACCATGTGAAAATGGGAAGACTTATGATCTACTCTGAAGGGCATTCGATCCATTTCCAACGAAGAAGAAGACAAGCGAGGAACTGCTATATGTAGAGAAAACATGCAACGAAAATCATTGACATCCTAAGAGAAAGTTTAGTACAGCCCACTGCTAGCTCCAAATTATCTATAGCCAATTCATACAATAGTTGCTTACTATACTATTAATATCTGGGTACATGTCATACACACATTACGTATTGGAGTCCGTGTTGCAGCTGGCTATAGATCTGTAGCCCGCTGTTTTTCTCTCTTTCTTTATCCCTTTAAAATATGTTTATAGCTGCTATTGTACCTGCTCTAAGAAGCACAGTGTAGTGGTGGAGTTAAGGGTGCACGATTCCACACACTTCTCAAATCAGTGATGCTGGTGTACATGCGCTCTGTGATGCTATAGGAAGTTGACGTTTGTCTCTCTATATACTCCGTATAAATTTTACTAGTAAGCTATAGGGTTGCTGCTGGTTTTTTTTTTTTTTTTGTCTACGTAGGTATGATACACTACTGGAGAAAGGGGCTTTAGTCCCGATTAGTAACCCCTTATAGTTATGGTTATATAACCGGGACCACGAATCCGGGACTAAAAATGGCCATCTTTAGTCCCGGGTGAAATAACTAGGAGTAAAAATCCATTTTAGGCCAGGTCCAGTTGTTCCTTTTTTTATTTCATTGTTTTTAACATTGAATATTGATTTCACTCCATCCTCAAATCATCCTTAAATCGTGAAATCCCAAATCCTCAAATCGATAATCTTCAAATACATCCCAAATCATCACAGATCACATATCAAAAGGATCATCTCCAAATACATCACAAATTCTTAATAAAATTACATCACAAGTTCTAAAAATTCATCACAAATACATCAGATATTCACATCACACACAAATCAAATACATCATAGGATTATACAATGAATCAAAAATTCTCAAAAAAAAAAAAATGCCGCTGCCGTCTCCCCTCCGGTAGAGGCGCTGGCCGGCCGCTACCCGCCTCCCCTCCACGTCGGCCAGCCGCCGCCGTGCCAGCCAGCGCCGTGCGGCCCTCCGCGCCACCGCGCACGCATCCCCTCCTCCCCTCCCCGCCGCGCATGCCGCCGCCCGCCACCGCTGCCGGTTGCTCGGCGTCCTCCTCCAATGCTCGCTCCCATCCGCTCCTTCGCTGAGAATGAAGTAAGGAGACAAGGCTGGAAAAAGATAAGGCTCAGCTCTCAGTTAGAGGACAAAAAGAGACAAGGAAAAAAGAGACAGAGAGGAGTCTATATGAACGGGAGAAGAGGATAAGTACTAGTGATTATATAGTGTGTTTTGATTTTTATTCCCGGTTAGTAATACCAATTGGGAATAAAGTTAGGTCTTTAGTCCCGGTTGGTGTTACTAACCGGCACTAAATATCACATAATCCCATTGTGCTTGTAAACCGGAACTAAAAATATTTATAGTCCCAAATTTTTAAGCAGCTGGGATTATCGTGGTTTTTAAGCAACCGATTATAGATGGTTTCTTCATTAGTGTTAGAGAACGTATCGATGGGTATCTACGTATGCAATTGTGTGTGTATGTATGTGTCTTCAACATATAATGGAAAGAATGAATCAGTGGCAACTGGAGTACTACGAACCATAAAAGAAGTATACTGTCCGCTTTCGAAAAAATGAAAAAGAAGGGGGAAAAGTAACTTTAATTCTTTAGACTGCATTGATTCGGCGCATGTTGTTAGCTTAACTTGTAAGTAAAGTGCCTGCTGAAACTTTGGAAGATTCGTCTATTGTACTCATACACAGTTGAACAGGACTGCCCTGCCAGTGATAAAACCGTAAATTTTACTAAAATCTCTGCTGCTCTAACTCAGTGACCCGAAAGTATTCCCTCCGTCCCAATATAAATACAGTTTTGCACTGTTCATATCTAATATTTAACCATTCGTCTTATTTTAAAATTTTTAATGATTAGTATTTTTGTTGTTATTAGATGATAAAACATGAATAATATTTTATGTGTGACTAATTCTTTTTAATTTTTTTATAAATTTTTTAAATAAGATGGAGAGTCAAACAACGTTGGACACGGACACGGACACCTACGACTGCACTTATTTTGGGACAGAGTTAGCACAAGCATTATGAAGTAGGACACAAGTATTAAAGAAAGTATAGTTGAAACTAAATAGGAGTATGAAAGAATTATGATTGGTTGAGATATGGGGTATAAGGAAAAACAGTTGTATTATATGTTAGGACAAAACTTGAATGGTAGAAATAATTAATCTGTACTTTGTAACAGACGGAGTATAAGCCTATTAGAACTGTTTACTCCATATCAGTTTGTAAATAATGACTGACTTACTACAATACAAATATAAAGAGGCTTTCTAAGCATTTAGGATATATTTTTTCTATAGTATAACTGTGTTGTTTTGTGACGAACGATTGAATAGATAAATCATCTGTGATAGTTATTTAGAGCAGGTACAATAGCAGGCTATAAGCCAGCTGCAAACATATTTTAAGGAGATAAATAAGGAGAGAGAAGAGCAGCGGGCTATAGATTTGTAGCCAGCTATAGCACGGACTCCAAGACGCAGTATGTGTATGACAGGTGGGACCAGGTATTACTAGTGTAGTATGTAACTATTGTATGGATGAGCTATTAGATTAGCTATAGTTGAATTGGAGCTAACAGTTGGCTATACTATTAAACTTGCTCTTAGGGTACACATGAATAGTGAATTAAACTGTTACTATAAAGGATTCAAAACAGTCTCTGGAAAATTTACTCTTATCGAAGGTTTTCAAGAAGTCGCACCATTTAAAAATTTGAAAAACATACGCATTCACACTACTAGAAAACTCATTTTCGACATCGTAGGGGATCGATTTTCACAGGCGGACATGTAATTCAGAGCCAAAACCCCGCCGGCAAAAAAAAAAAAGTACCCGGGATGATCATCCAATAAGCAAAAATAAGCTGCTTGGTTTGCTCCCGTTAAGATCGAATTTATCTATCGATCTTCCGCTTATAGTTCGATGAAGTGATTGCTAAATTTGCTACCTCGTTTCATCACTTTTTTTTTTGTTAAAAGTGCGCCGCACCACACTTTGGCACTAAAAAGAGTAAATTAATACTGATAATAACATTATACTAGTAAATTAAGAACCACATTTCGATACCAAATGTAGTCGAGCCACGGTTTGTTGATTAATTTATAATAGATTTAAGTTTGGAAACGTTAAAATGTTTTTGATAGCTTTCTAGGTTGATCTCGAATCTCTATCTATTTCACTGTCCGTCCGATTGCTCTGCGGGTACAGGAGCCTTTTAGTTCCGTTTGATTTCTTCTGTTGCGGCAAGCCGCACCTTGCTATCTGCTTTTGCTTGTTTTTTTCCCAATATAAGATTTGAATTTACAATATGATTTTTGGCTTATACAATATAAATACATTAAATTTACAATGTACTTTTTAAGACTTATCATGTAAATACGTTAAATAATATTCATTATGAAAAATATAGTAACATAAATATGGGGAACTATTCTAATCCCTCGAGGGGATATTCCCTCGTTTACCTAAAAACCATCTAAACGGTTATGAAAAATTCTGGAAAAATTTGACAACATTCATACAACACATATATACAACTCCACAAAATCTTAAGTCCAAACTCAACTCTCACGTCGAGATATAAAAAAGATAAATTCAGCATATGAATAGTCCCGTACTGTTTATATCTAAATTTATCTTTTTTGTTTCTCGATGTGTAGATCGAATTTGAACTTGAATTTTGGTGGATTAGTAGGTATCATTATACTCTACATTGTCAATTTTTTTTAGAATTTTTCCAACTATTTGCATTAAATTTGAAAGAAAAAGATATACGGGGGGATATCTCCTCGAGGGATTAGAATCCGCTCCCCATAAATGTAGGGTTCTCCGTATATTCTACACTTAGTCCATTTTTTTTAACATTATGACAAGACAAGTTGAGTTGTGGTAATCCGAGACAACCAAACATGCCAACAAACCAACATTGATCACCTGATCGATAGCACCGGTTTACATTAACCATCGTTAAGCTAGCGCACACACGGGACAGACATTATTTACGACATGTATACGCAGGTGAATCCTCTGGCGTATAGTCAGAATGACGTGCTCGCCGTGGTATGGGTCTACTATGGAACATGAGTCGGACATGTCATCATCTTCGCTGACATGCTGGCCAATGGAACGTGAGTCCGACACGTCAGTGACAGTGTCAGGGTATGCAGCCGCAGGGAGGACGCAGGGTTCGCTTGGAGGGAGGCGTTTATCCAGGGCGCGGAAGAGGAAGAGGGCGGCGACCGGCGCCGCGCACGCCCACGCGACGGGATGCGAGCAGAAGACGGCTGCGGCCACGACGGGGCCGGCGGAGCGCAGTATCTGGGCGTAGAGCTCCGGGAGTGACTCGTACGCTGCTCGCGAGATGTCCATGCCGGCGGCGTCCGGAGCGCTCATGGTGGTGGCGGTGGTGGTGACGCGGTCGTCGTAGCAGCACCGCGCGCAGGCGGGGAGGACCCGGTCGAGCACCTTGCCGACCACCTTGGCGGCGACGAATAAGAGGACAACGCCGAAGCAGACGGCGTAGACGAGCGCCCGCCCGATCAGGACGGCGGCGGCGAGCAGTAAGAACGCGCAGCAGCCCGCGACGCCGACGAGCGCCAGCCCGATCACCGCCGCGGCGGGGAACAGGAACGGCCAGGCGAGCCAGACAAGCGCGACGACGCATAGGACGGCGGCGATCACTAGCACGTAGGGGAGCGCCGCGGCGGCCGCGGCGCGGAGCCCCCGCCAGAGCGACTCGAGGAGCGGGACGAGCCCGTGGGCGGCGCTCGCGAGCGTGGCGAGGAGGCTGGCGTAGAGGCGCTTGACGAGGGGCCACAGGCCGTCGAGCCTGAAGCTGATGTCGGCGGCGGCGTCGGCGGCCGCGGTCCTGAGCCACTTCCAGAACGCCTCGAACGGGTGGACGAGGTCGTGAGCGGCGCCGGCGAGCGTGGCGAAGAAGGCCAACACGTTCTGCCACAATCCTTGGAAACCAGAGCCGGTGCCGCCCGCCGCCGTCTGCAGCCACCGCCAGAACGCCTCGAACGGCAGGACGAGCCCATGGGCCGCGCCGGCGAGCGCGGCGACGATGCTGGCGAAGAAGCCCTGTATGGCATGCCACATGCCGTCGAATCCATGGCCAATGCCGGCGACGGCCGCCTGGACGAGCAGGTGCGCCACGGTCCCGAGCCCAGCGAAGAGCGCCTGGATGGCGTGGCCCAGGGCCTGGAAGCCGTGGGCGATGGCCTGGAACGGGAGGAGGAGGAGGTGGACGAGGCCGGAGAAGAGTCCGGCGATGAGCTGCCACAGGCCGTCGAGGCCGAAGCTCATGCCGACGGCGGCGGCGTCGGTGGCGGCGCCATGCAGGAGGAGCTTCCTAGCCGCTGCTGAGTCAGCGAGGGCCACCATGGCGGCTAGCTAGCTTCTCCTTCCTCCCTGTGGAGAGATAAGTGCTACTGTGAGTTCGTGAGAATCTGAGAGGCCTGGAGAAGTGGAGAGGGGAGTGGAGACTGGCCTTTCTACTCGTACTCGGCGAGCTTTGCTGCCAGTTCCAATGGACCTTCTTTTCTTCCCGAGGCTACTTTAATTTGGTGCGCGGGTCATGTCGTGTCAGCAAGTGGCGGGCCATTTGCTGGAAAGGTTGGCGGCGAACAGTAATCGCAGTTCCCATTCCGAGAATCTTCGGCCGGCGCGTATTTTCGAAACGAAGTTATACGGACTATCTGCTGACAAAAAAAAATTAATAGTTGCTTCTTCTAATTCTTTTTATTAAACTATTAAAAATATCTGTGTGTTGCAAAGGATAAAACTATTTTAATCTTATTATTATTATACGGTTTAGCAAGGTGAAATCACTGTAGGATTTTGTTTGATTTTTTTTTTTTTTGCAAAATCGATTGTCATATGAGTTTTAAAAAGAACGAACTTAAAAACTGACTTAAACATGGATCTGTTTTTATAAAAATGAATGAAGTTAAAATCTGACTTAAACACGGATTGACTTATACCGATAAAAACATTTTTAATTTTTATAATAGTAGATATTTCACCTGCCCTAAGATATTAAAATCTTAGTTATAAAAACACATGTCACATGAATATCATGAATATAAAGTTTCATAAAGCGTTTGAGAGTTTGGGAAAATCAAAATATCATGTGCGGGCAAGGGCACAGCTCTCCACTAGGTGGCTGTGTTTTCAACTTATATTGCAATAATTAAATGTTAGTTTTACTGTAATTACCCCATGACATCTTGATTATATTATCATGTAGTTGTATTTCACAGTTCTTAAGAAGATTTCCTCTCGACGTTTACACACAAACAACACCTTTTTAAAAGTAGGTACCTTACTTACCTCGCAAATTTGATGCAAACCTTTCTTCCCTTCGTGGAAAAAATTACTATCTTGCCATCCTCCCTCAACTGCCACTCACCCAAATTTTCGTTCAAACTTACCACTCGGCCGATCCTCACTAACTCTCTCCCGCACATCACTATTTACACCCAAATTTGACATTTAAGGGTCGAAATAGGAAAAAATCCAAATATAGGAACTCTGCTGGTTTTCTCTAGAAGGGCCGGTCTGATCGTCATGTGTGGGCCGGTTAGACCGCCGCCAAAGGGCCAGTCAGACCGGAATCCGAGCCCGAGTCTGTTTTCGTCAGGTCTCATGTTTTCTTGCTCGGGAAGGTATGTTTCGGGTTTCCATTAGTGTCTACCCAAGTTGGACGTATAGGAGGGCCTGTAGAGGGAAAGACCAACCCCTGTTTAAGAGATAAGGCCGGTTCAAACAATGTATCACACAGTCTATACACAGATCAATCGAATCGTTTTCTTATCTTTTACTTTTCAGCCATGTTTTCTACTTTACCCTAGTTTTTATCCATCTTTATCGATTTACACCGTAAATCGTCTGTTGTCGCTACGAGAGTGCGATTACCCCTTTTGTAGGTTTGTCCCGTAAACCTTCCGTTTCCCATGAGACGGGTATTTATCCTCATATCGATTTAAATCGGCCATCGGCCTAGAGGCTGATTTTGATATCTAAATCGGCTCCGCTAGCCGGTTTAGCCGTTTTCTACAAAACCCATCTTGATTTGGCCTTTTGGCTAGATCGAGGTGGTTGGCGACTCCATATCACTGTAAGACGTTTAGGTGTCTCGATCGTGATTGTCTTCTTGCTAAAAAAAGTTGCCAACAATCATTTTTACTCCTATTGTCACCCACGTTCTTTTTTTAAAAAATAATGTCTTCCTATCGTGCTTCCACGTTGGACGGGACCAATATGAAAAAACAACCACGTGAGTGAGAATGGGGCTAGGAGTGGCTTGCGGAAGAGAATTGGTTCGGATTGAGGGGCAAATGAAAACGAAAATTTGGTAGAGTGATATCTGGAAACTAGTATTTTCGAAGGATGATAAACAGTAAATTTTCTTACCTTTTCAAAACCACCTTTCTTAAATCGTTTTCTTTTTTTTCCTTAACTTTTGTTCCTTATTATTGTTTGCTTGTTGTTTTATGTACCACAACTAAAAATTGAAGTTTAAAACTTAATTTTTAGAGTGTCCTTCAACGTAGTTTATTTGTAAGCCTTGGCAAACAACTAATAACACAAGTATAAAAAAGCTGTACTTATTAATTATTTTCGAATGCTTTTGTTCCTTCGTTTCTGAAAAACACATTGAGGCTAACGCCTCAATACAGTTTAGTGATAGACTGATAGTTGAAATGCAAGGGCAGTTCGTTTTACAGGAAGGCTCATAAAAGATAAGCACATAGACACAAAGTCCTGAAATCTGCAAAAGGACTTACAAATAAATAAAAAAAAGCAGTCATATAAAGCATTTGAAATTAAAAATGCACCATCTAAATTGATAATCAAAGTTTGAAAATACTATCAACTTTTTCTTACATGCTAAATATTTATAGCCGCCTAGCCGGCTGAGTAATGCTTTTCCATAACATTGTAGGCCATACTTAGGCTGAGTAGATGCAATTCTTCTTTCTCCCACACTAGTTTTACTAGCTAGGGTGGGTAAAAAAAAAAAACCAAACTGAAAAGATTGGAACCGAGATAGAGCAATTCAGTTACTAATACGGTCTCAACATGTCACTAACCGAATTTTATTCAAAATTTTGTCGATTTGATCATCACCCTCAGCTAACCAAATTGATTGAAATAACTTAACAACACAATAGACCACCAAGGTTTCGTTCAGAAAGAGGATGTGCTGGGATTGATTTTTTAAAGAAACTTCTATGTTAAGAAGTTTAGCAATTCGAGAAGATTGTTAATAGAAAGTGATGAAGTAGTTGTTTCACATAGTTGTTTAGAACGCACTCTAAGCCCAACAGAGGAAATCCTACTTTCTTACCCATCCCAATCAACCCCACTTCTCCACTCACCTAGACACCACACGGAGCGCCACCTCTTGGCATTGCCTGACGAGCGATCCCGCGCTGCCTACTCCGCCTCTACCTGACAACCAAGCCATGTGTCACCTCCTGGAAGTTGCGCCACCGCTTCTCCGCATCTGCCTGAGGACCGAGCTAGCGTTGCATTCTACTGCGATGCCGAAGAACCCGAGCCCGAGTCAGCGCCACTATCCTCCAACCCGGCCTACACTCGAACGTCATCCAAAGCTTGAGGCATGCCCGCCAGCTGCATCTCCTCTAGAGGCTCTTCCTTCACTCAGCCTCTCCAACGACGATGACGACACCGGCCAACATTGGAGGATATGCGATTTTTGTGTGCCTAATTTGTTTTGATCTAAAATTTATAAGGGAATTGTGTAATTCTTTTGAATTTTCTAAAACTTTGGTCAGGATAGAGACTGAAATGTTTGGTCTTTATTATTTTTCAAGATCACTCGGTCTTTATGACCGGAATGTCAAAAATAAAATAAAGATTGATCTAATTGAATGTCAACCCCTACTATATATATCTTACTTTGGCGCATGAATGTATAGGGCTTGTTCACTTTATCGCGTTTTGGCATTACCAAATTTTGATAGCGTTGAATGTGTTTGGTTGGATACCTTTCCAAACATTGATGACGTTTTTGTTAGAGGAATTTTTGGGAACTACCAAATTTTGGTAGAATGACATTGATAAGCTCATGCTTAGTTTGTTGCAGTACCACCAAATTTTGATAGCATTGAAAATAGCGATAAAGTGAATAGGCCTGTAGACGAGATCAGAGGCCCAATTTGAGGCATATTCTCTCAACAAAATTGAGCCATGCTTGGGAGTTGGGAACCTCTCAAAATGCACCTAGAATTAACCTCTCACTCTCCAACAGAATGCCACACTGACCACAAAATATAGAGCTAAAAATAACCTACGCAAACTACACCCTCAAGGCCTCAACTGCCTCGACAAATGTTGTCTATAAAACTCCCGTTCTTGGCGATCCTCTTCGCTTTGGAGGAGAACCTTAGCCCTCGAAGGCCTCGAGCCCTCCCCTACCTTGTTCTACCTCCTCCCATGGAGGTAGAACAAGTTCTATCTATCACCTCCAACCCCAAGGTAGACAGTATCACCAATGGCGACAATGTGATCATCATCCCTAGTGTGAGCACGGAGGAGAAGGAGCACATCAATGGAGCTGCAGAGACAAATCATGTTGTGATGATCACCGCTGCTTCCATGGACAGAACCGACGGCGACGACAGGACGATGAAGGAGGAGGAGACGGACGGCATCGCCATCGCCAGGAGCGCCTCCTCCAACGGAAGCCGGCAGCAAGACAAGAAGCGGGGCGCGTTCGGCCTCTTCCGGGCGATGTTCATGTCCTTCAACGGCAGCGCCAGCATCAAGAAGAGGGCCGCCGCCGCCGCCGCCACCATGGGCTATCAGAAGAAGGCCGAGGCGGCCGGCGGCGGCGCGGCGGCTGACGTGGAGAGGTCGTCCAGCGACGTCGCGTCGTGGAAGAACCTCGTCGACGGCATGCGCCCGCTCCGCCTCCACGGCCACCTGGAGTACTACCCGCCGCCGTCGCCGGACAGGAGCGATGGCACGAGCATGACCAGCAGCTACTCGTCCGCCCAGGACCTGCAGGAGCTTGTCAATGGCCATGGAAAAGAAGACGAGGAAGAAGAAAAGAATTCTCTGGAGACGGAGGACGGTGGATGCAGCCCGAATCCGATCGACATGCAGGCCGAGGAGTTCATCGCGAAATTCTACGAGCAATTTAGGCTGCAAAAGTCGGACTCATTCAACAACCGAGCCTATTGATCGATCTCAGTGTTTTGATCTTGAAATTAGCATTCTTCTTCTCTTCCGATGTACATGGCGGATGGGGAGCAAGAAAAATCCATTGAAATGAAGTCATGAAGAAAAGTATATACCTCAATGTCGCGTCCATAATCACATTCGCTGTTTCTTCTCCATGTAATCTCCGTCCTTCAAAGAATTAATGGTATTCGCTAGATTTCAGATTCTTGAAAAGTACATAATAGAGTCGAGAAAACAGTGCGGTCAATTACATGTAAATTACTTTTTAGTTCTTACGTATTTGCTACACATCATTGTATGAACATAGGCAATAGGCCACCACATTGTTTGAATACTGAAATGGTGACGAATAAAGTACTGAAATTGGTATTATAAAAAAAATATTTCTTTTGTGTTTCAAAATTTGGTAGCAGACCAAGTAGTGACAGATTACATTATAGCACCAAAATAGGGTCACCTTAATTTCCTAATCAGGCTAGCTCGATCCTTTTTGTACGTGCTTTCTTCATGATTCCCATAGTCGCTGCTAATTTAGTCCCGTAGTTGCAGGTATTTTCAACAAGGAAAAAGTACACCAAAGGTTCCTCAACTTGTCATCGGGATAAAAAACGTCCTCGAACCGCAAACCAGATATGCGAGGTCCCTTAACTATAAAAAACCGGTCACCCGAGGTCCTTCGGTGATTTTGACCTCGGTTTTAGTCTACGTGGCGGCTGAGTCACCGTGGGACCCACGTGGGCCCCACATATCAGGGTTATCCATGTCAGCCTCTTCTCTATCTTTCCCCTCTTCTCTCCCTTCCTCATCTCTCTCTCTCACTTCTCTGCAAGCTGGACGGGGCGAGGCGGGAGAGAAGGAGGACAGCGCCGCGACGGCGGCCAGCGGAGGCGGCGTGCGAGTGCGGCGGCCAGCGAAGCGGAGTGGAGTGGAGGCGCGGAGCAGCGGTGGCGGCAGGCGGGCGAGCGTGCGGAGGCCGGTGGATGGGGAGCGGCGGCCAGTAGGTGGTGGTGGCGGAGGCGGAGACGAAGGCTGTGGAGGTGGCAGCCCCCTAGCGGCGGGCATGGTGGTCGTCGGCGTCGGCGTGCCCCGCTTCTCCCGGTGGTCGTCGGCGTCGCCATGGTGGTCATTGGCGTCGGCGTGCCCCGCGCCCGCTCCTTCCGACAGGATCCTCTCCTCCTCGTCGGCGTCAGCGTCCCCCTCGCCCCCGCCGGATCCCGCCACGGCGCGGTTGCTGGCGTCCTCCTCCTCCTCCGCCTCCGCATCGATGGCGTGACCCGCTTCTCCCTCCCGGCCACCTCCACGGCATCGTCCATGCCGGGTCCATGAGCATCCGGACCCCACTAGCGAGCTCCTGCATCAGCCCCTCCTCCCCCAGCATCTTCGCCATCACCGGCAGCTTGTCGCTCTCGACAAGCTTGGCGCACGCGTCGGCACCGCCGAGGTAGCGGCCCATGACAAAGAGATGCGGCGGCGCTGGGCGGGGAGGTCCGTGGCGAGCACAGCGAGGAGATCCGTGGCGAGCACGTTGTCGTGCTGGACCATGAGCCGGTGGAGGCTGCTGCGGGATTGGTTCTCGGTGCTCCCTCCCTGAGCACGTGCGCCGCCTGGGGGAAGCTCGCGCTGCCCTAGGAGCCGCCGTCGCTGGCCGCACCATCCTCCGGCGCCGCGCGCCGCTGTGGGCGTCCTAGCGCCAGCATCCCCATGTCCTGCGAGTGCAAGAGCAAAGAGTGAGAGGAAGGGAGGAGAGAAACAAAGAAACATAAAGGGGAAAGAGAGAGGGTGATGTGGACACCTGACATGTGGAGCCCACGTGGGTCTAAAGCTGACTCAGCCGCCACGTAGATCAAAATCGGGGTTGAAATCACTGAAGGATCTCGGGTGACCGGTTTTATATACTTAAGGGACCTGCATATCTGATTTTTTGGTCTAAGGACGTTTTTTATGCCGATGACAAGTTTGGGACCTTCGGTCTACTTTTTCCTTTCAACCCATAGATGGAGGTAGTTTCGCCCCTAGAGGAGCTGGTAATTTTGGCCCACTATTGCTTGTAATTGGGGCCGTACGCGCTAGTAGTTTGAGCTCATCGGCCGATTGGCGAGATTAAATTCGGCCTGTAGCTTCTTGTACTTTCGGCCCATAGGTTGCAGTAATTTCGGCCCACATGGCGTTGGTAATTTTGGCCCGTACGTATGCGTCAAAATACGTACGGGTCAACCGTCGAAGCCCTGTTCCGTGCCTACGCCGGAAAATGGCGGAAATACCTACCCGACCGGTCGCAACGGCGGGGATGGATGGTTCGACGCGGCGGTGCATTCATGCCGGTGGTACACTCTGTCTACGACGGATACACTACACGGATGCAGGCGGCGGTGGTGGGGCGCGATGACAGGGTTCAATTTCTCGTTTTCAGTTGTACTAGAAAATATGCGCGCCCGTTGGCGCACCAGTAAATTTATAGCATGTATATCTTATTTAGGGCTCATATGGAATATAAAAAGTTTATCTACCTCTTGTTTTAGATTATTTATCACTCTACCAAATTTCATATCAAATAAGGAGATGCGGCAAATTACATTGTTATGCTCATTTACTACATTCTAATAGTTTTGAAAAGTAATGTTAACTTTGATTGCCAGATATATGTGGCATTGATGAAAGGTGGAGATAGGGCAATTGAAATGTGAGAATGACCGGTAATTTGGAACTGATGAAGTAATATATTTTTACATGAGTTACTCTAACACCCATAAAAAATCTTTCAAAAGGTTAATGGAATTTAATTTTGTGTTTGTCCTAGAAGAATGGAATTTAATTTTATGTTTGTCCCGGAAGAATGAGAAGAACAAAAGTAGGAGTGTAATTAGTGATTGCCAATAATTTGATGGCAAATTTTGCTATAAAACACCTAATTTTTTTTTGTACTTTTCAAAAAGATGAGAATTTTTCTAGGAACAAAAGCTTCTAACCTGGGGATGTTGTGAAGATAGAAATACGATGTATGTTCGCGATGTAATTGGAGGTATTGGCAAGTTTAGAGTTGCATAATTTTTAAAGTATTACTCCAAGCCCATGTTTGAAGCATGTGGCCTCAAGGGTATTATTGTCTATTTGAATATTTTCTCTCTCCAATTGAAATGGAAGTGTCATCTAGCAAATTATCGGTTTTTTAGGCATATTTAAACCGTGACATATTTTACAATCTCTATTAGCAAATTATACAATATTTTGAGTATCCTATAGCAAACCTGATTGAACAAATGATTAGAGATGCTATTAGAAAAAAAATGTTAAAGTTATGTTCCCTCAAAACTGTGGCAATTTTATTAACCAAAAATTTGTGCATACAATATCAACAGTAAAACTGCACATTCGAAAACATATTGGTTCTTACTATTGCAAATTTTCATCCAATCTTTTACCCTATTTCTATTATTTAGTTTTTTTATTATTTATTTTGTAGAAATATAGGGTATCAATATGGTTTGGTATGTGACTCAATTTCCGGTTTTAACCATAATGTATTTTATTTATTCAGATAAAATTTGCAAAAGAATATTTATATATTTTTCTTTGTTATTCTTTTACTTTCCTTTATCCTATTTCTGCTTGGTACTGTGTGCACAATTAGCCTGAGAAGGCAACAAGAAATGCTGTAGCAGCGGTGCTGGACAACCAGGCCCAGTGCAGGCATGCGTGCTGGACTGTACACGCCAATGTTTTTTTTTTATTTCACGGTGAAACGTTAGGCTAATTTCCTCCACATGAACATGTGGCAGTTTCTTTGAGGGGGCAATGCCAAATTTACAAAGCTAGAAAATCTACACGCCTGTTGGCGTGCTGGTATATGTATTATCTTATTTAGGGCTCATATGGAATATATAAATTTTGCTTACCTCTTATTTTAGATTATTTATCACTCTAGACAATTTCGTCTCAAATGAGGAGATGCGGCAAATTACCTTATCATGCTCATTTAGTACATTCTAATACTAGTACTAGATATCTTAAAGGTGCTAGAGTCGCCGCAAGCCCAGCCGATCCACGTCATCAAATTTTGCACAAAACCCCTCGTTATTTTCATATTTCAAATTGAGTCCACGTGATCAGAGCTTTTCTTTCCCACGCGTGGACAAAATCTGGCCGTTCGTTTCCTAGGTGGTTCCGTCCTTACCTGGTCGTGGAATCGACGAGCGCTCCCCTCCCCACGTCGCCCTCCCCGATCCCCTTTCGCTCCCCCTTCCGATCGGCGATTCGTCGGCGGCGTTGGAGCCGTCGCCGGTTCCCCGCTCCCCCCTTCTTCTCCCTTCCCTGTTACGACCTCGCCGCCGGCGAGCACAAGTCGCCGTCGTTGAGGAAGAACGAGAGACTTGAGAAAGGGGAAAGGAATCAGAGGAAGAAGACGAGAGAGAGATGTTTCGTGATTTCTTTTTCTTCTTCCTTGACGAGTTTTCCGATTTGCTACAGTAGTGGCTTATATACACGCCACACGCTACTGCCCACTGGGCCCAACATATCAACCCCACACCCTTGTTTACGCTTTTCATAAGCTAAAGCGCATTTTACAAATACGTATTGCTCTGTTTCTTCAGTAATCTCAAGTCTGAATATCCTCCGATATGACAGTGCCGCCCGCCGGAGATCCAGCTTGTCCCAAAGCTGAAACTGCTGGAAAACGAGTACGAATCACATCATAATCCTCCCATGTCGCCATATTATCTGGCAATGAACCCCAGCGAACTCGCACTTGCACAATGGCAGCATTCCCTTTCTTGACCATACGGCAATCCAGAATTTCAGTAGGGATCAGATCCTCCACATCTAAAGCAACCACATCAGGTAGAGAAGTATAAACGGGCACATGAGAAGGAACAGATGGCTTCAACTGAGAAACATGGAAAACAGAATGAACTTGACTGGCTGGTGGAAGCTGCAACTTATAAGCCACCGATCCCACACGCTCCAAAATAGGAAAGGGACCGAAATACTTCATAGCCAACTTGTGACAAGGTCGATTCACCACAGATGTTTGAGCATATGGTTGTAACTTCAGAAAAACTGAATCCCCAACTTGAAACACCCGTAAAGTACGTTTAGAATCAGCCACCTGCTTCATATGATTCTGAGCTCGAGCCAAATGGTGCTGTAACGTACTGGAGTAAAAGGAACGAGCCTTCAATAATGCAGTGGCATCTTTAGAAGAGGAAGATTCATCTGAGGCCTCAACTGACAAAGACGGCAAAAGACCATAACTAGGATCTGACCCATACAGAGCTTTATGAGGACTGCACTTAAGCGAAGTATGGAAAGATGTATTATACCAAAACTGAGCTAATGGTAACCAGCTAGCCCATTTACTTGGAGTATTCGCCACAGCACACCTAAGATACATTTCCAAGCATTGATTGACACGTTCAGTTTGGCCATCGGACTGAGGATGATAAGCTGTACTCATGTTCAAAGGAATGCCAAATCTAGCAAATAAAGTCTTCCAAAATGAGCTAGTGAAAACCCTGTCTCGATCAGATACGATTGACTTGGGCATTCCATATAACTGAGCCACTCGGTCCAGAAACAATTCAGCCACTTGAGAAGCCGAAAAAGGATGCTTCAAGGAAAGGAAATGAGCATATTTGGTAAAACGATCCACAACAACCAGAATTGTATTAGCTCCTTTAGAGAGAGGAAGCCCCTCAATAAAATCCATCGAAATGTCTTGCCAAGAACCCTCAGGAATGGGTAAAGGTTGGAGCAAACCAGGATATTTACAGTGCTCATGTTTGGCCTGTTGACATACCCCACATTGTTGCACAAACTCCTCCACAGCTTGTTTCATACCAGTCCAAACAAAGAGCTTCTTCAGACGATGATAAGTGGCATGAATGCCTGAATGACCTCCAATAGGGGAAGAGTGAAAGACAGCAATCAATTTAGACTGTAATCCAGAGTTAGCTCCTACCCAAATCTTGTCATGTTTTTTAATAAGACCCCCAGAAAGCATGAATCCCTTGTCATTGGGACTACTCACAGCCAACTCAGTAAGAAGTTGCTGAGCATCAGCATCCGTTGCATAAGAATTAACCACTTCTTGAATCCATTTAGGATAAGGACCAGAAACCGTAGCAAATAAGTGTCCCACACGAGATAAAGCATCAGCTGACTTATTATCAACACCTCGTTTATACTGAAACTTGTATTGCAACCCAATCAACTTAGTCATAGCTTTACGTTGCAATTCACTTCCTAGTATCTGATCATCTAAATGACACAAAGATTGATGATCAGTCTTAATAGTGAAAGGGCCTCTCAATAAGTAAGATCTCCACTTGTCAATAGCCATCATAATAGCCAAGAACTCCTTCTCATAGATGGACAATTTTTGATTAGCCATGCCTAAAGCTTTACTGTAAAAAGCAATGGGGTGCCCTTCTTGAGACAAAACAGCTCCAATACCAGTTGCACAAGCATCAGTCTCCAATACAAAAGTTTTAGTGAAATCTGGCAAGGCTAACACTGGGGTAGAACACATAGCATGTTTCAGCTGAAGAAAAGCAGAATTAGCTGAGTCTGTCCATATAAACTTTGCATTCTTCTGCAACAAAACAGTCAGGGGTTTAGCAATAACACCATAGTTCTTAACAAACTTTCGATAATATCCAGTTAAGCCAAGAAAACCCCTCAACTCAGTAACATTGGTTGGAACAGGCCAATCTCTCATAATGCGAGTTTTCTCAGGATCGGTAGCCACCCCATCAGCTGAAATAATGTGGCCCAAATATTCCAGCTGAGAAGCTGCAAAAGAGCACTTGCTCAACTTAGCGCTTAACTGATGTTGCTGCAACACTTGAAGAACTGTATCCAAATGAATTGCATGAGTCTCCAAGGAAGGACTATAAACCAATATATCGTCCATGAATACCAGAACAAATTTCCTCAAATATGGCTCAAAAATGGAATTCATTAAACACTGAAATGTGGCTGGCGCATTGGTTAAACCAAATGGCATAACCCTAAACTGAAAATGACCATGATGTGTCTTAAAGGCTGTCTTTTCCTCATCAGTTTCCTTCATCCTGATTTGATGATAACCACTGCGCAAATCCAATTTAGAAAAGAAACGGGTGCCAGCCAATTCATCCAATAGTTCATCAACAATAGGAAGAGGAAACTTATTCTTAATTGTGATTGCATTTAGCCTTCTGTAATCAACACAAAAACGCCATGTGTTATCTTTCTTCTTAACTAATAAAACTGGGGAAGCAAAAGGGCTGCAGCTGCGAGAAATTAAACCCGATTCCAACATTTCCTGAACCTGTTTCTCGATTTCATCTTTTTGTGCAGGAGAATATCTGTATGGCCTGCTATTAACAGGTATGGCACCAGGAACCAAAGGAATAGAATGATCTAATTCCCTATGAGGAGGCAGTCCAGCACTAGGCTGAAATACTGAAGAATATTTCTGCAATACGTCCTGAATCGATGCAGGTACAGCAGAATCACACAATGGAGAGGAAAGACAGTCGACCACAGCTAAAGCCCAAATATCATTACCCACTTGCCATTTCATCATTTGGTCAGAAGATACTTCAGAAAGATACTGCAGTTGATGAGACTGAATACCCTGAAGTTTAACCAACTTGCCTTGATAAGTGAACTCCAACCACCTGTCAGCCCAATTGCAAGTCATAGGACTGAACTTAGAAAGCCAATCCATACCCAAAACTATATCATGCCCCCCCATGGATAAAACTTTCAATGAAGAAACAAATGTGCACCCCTGTATCCACCAAGAAAATTCAGAAACCTGAGCCTCACACTGTAAAGTTTCACCATTAGCCACCTTCACTGTGGAAACAGGAATTGGATCAGTGGATAGATTCAGTTTCGAACAGAGATCTGCATTGATAAAACTATGAGAACTGCCTGAATCCACCAAAATGATAACAACTTGATTCCCAGCAAGTGCTCTCAATTGCAAGGAATGAGTAGCACTAGTACCAGCCACTGCTTGCAAAGATAATAACATGTTATCATCCGGTAACTGTTCAAAAGCAGTGACCACATCCAAAATTTCATCAGTTAACACATCATCAGAAGAAGAAACTTCCATAGTTTTTAACTGAGCACCCTCTGTCTTTCCACAAGTATGAGCAGGACTATATTTTTCACCGCATTTAAAGCACAGTCCATGAGTTCTCCTATACTCTTTAAGCTGTTGAGCCTTCCACAAATCCCCCACAGGAACTTTTCCTTTATCCCCAAATTTCACATTCCCCACATCCTTCTTGAAGGCCACTTTCCGATTGCAAAAGGCACCCTCAAAAGCTAAAGCAACTCGGGCAGCTTGATGCACTGTTTCAGGTTCTTGAGCAGCCACAAAGCATCTCAATTCATCTTTCAGACCCATCACAAAACGGGACACCAAAAATAAACCACTAGTAGCAGGATCATACAGCCGAATATGATATACCAGCTGCAGAAACTTAGAGCGATATTCAGAGACTGTTCCTGTTTGAGTCAACAACAGCAATTCTTCCATCTTAGCACGTTTGATATTGATCTCAAACTCATTCAGTACAGCCTCACGTAATTGCTCCCAAGTAGGCCAACCCCTCTCCTGTTTCCAAGCCTGATACCAATGTGCTGCATCACCAATCATATTCAGAGAAGCTGCTGAAACCTTAAACCCTTCTGTGATTTGATACAGCGCAAAATAAGTCTCACAATTATCCACCCAAACACAAACATCTGTGCCATCGAATTTTGGGAAATCCATCTTTGGCACCCAAGAGCGTCTCCCCTGCACATCCGAATTATCACGAACCGGAGGTTGACCAGAACGAACAGGTACCTCAACTTCAGGTGGTGGTTGTGTTGATGTCGATGCCGCATCCTGAGACAAAGTCGGCCTCGGCGTCGGAAGTAGCGGTGAAGAAGGTGTTGCCGCCGCCTTGAGAGCCTTCGTCATCAACGCTTGCTCGCACTGGACCTGCCCCAACGATGCCATGGAGAGATCCACCTTGCTCTGCACAGCATCTAAGCGCGCACCCTGCTTCTCCAACTTGCTATCAATCTGCGTCAGCTGTTGACCCAACGCATCAACCTTGTCCACCTTCACCGTCAGAGCTTGCACCGCCGCCATCAGCCTCTCCTCCATATCGCCCATCGCCGCCACCACTTGCCGCACTTGAACGCCTTGCTTTGCCGGAGCCGTGGTGTCCCTCCTCCAAAATCAGCGAATCCTATGGACAGATTTACTGCAGCTCACCCAAAAGGGAAGCCACAAACTGAACTATGGGAAAAATTTTACCGCCGATCCGAGAGAATATGAGGAAACGCCCGACGGATCGTTCGGCTCTGATACCAGATTGTTACGACCTCGCCGCCGGCGAGCACAAGTCGCCGTCGTTGAGGAAGAACGAGAGACTTGAGAAAGGGGAAAGGAATCAGAGGAAGAAGACGAGAGAGAGATGTTTCGTGATTTCTTTTTCTTCTTCCTTGACGAGTTTTCCGATTTGCTACAGTAGTGGCTTATATACACGCCACACGCTACTGCCCACTGGGCCCAACATATCAACCCCACACCCTTGTTTACGCTTTTCATAAGCTAAAGCGCATTTTACAAATACGTATTGCTCTGTTTCTTCGGTAATCTCAAGTCTGAATATCCTCCGATATGACATTCCCTCACGGCGGCGTCGGGGCGGATGGCGCGTTCGAGCCGACGCCGTTGTCTTCCCTCCCCCCTTTTCTCCCTCTCCTCTCCCTCCTACCTCACCTTGTGGCAGCGCCGCCGGGGGCAGGACGGACGAGGCGCCCGTCGGAGCCGGCACAGGTGCTCCCTTCCTCCTTCTCCCTTCACTTGCGCCGGCGGCGGCGGTTGCGACGAGGGAGGACAGATGCGGCGCCCGTCGTTGGTGTTGCCGCCGACCCGCCGTGTCCCCTCCCTTCTTCTCCCTCCCCTTCTGGCAGCGGCGGCGAGGGACCTGCAGTGGCGGCAGCCTTCTCCGCTCGTCTCTCTCCTATCCGTCTCCTACAGTCGTCGTCCTCCGGCCACCGCCGTCCTCTGCCAGCACCTCCTCCGGCCCCCTCCACTCTGCCCATCCGCTCCACTCTTCCCTCCTACCCAAATCTACGGCGCCGCTCCGTGGTCGGCAGCTCAATTCCTCGCCGGATCTGACAGTTTGACCGGTGGAGAAGGAAGAAGCGGGCGGCCCGCGAGGATGGAGGAAGCGGATTGGCAGAAGTTGGCCGTTGAGATCTCCGTCAAACCTGTCCCCTTCAAGCATCCGGGTCCGACATCCTCTGCGCATGGTCTGTGACAGCTTGGTATAATGAAGAATTAGAAAGGATTCAGTTCTCTCCTTCCTGTTCTATTCTTTCAGCAATGGTTCAGGTCAACAAAAAAATTTTGGTCGAGCAACAAAGGTTCAGTTCTTATCCTTCCAGTTCTCCTTTTGTCTTGAATGTTCTTGAAGAAGCTATAAGTGGAACAGATACATTGAGATCGCTCCCAGTTGGATCATCAGCAGCAGGAAAGGTTCCGCCACTACCAGTGTTATGATCTTGTTTATAATGGGATGGCTACCACATATATTTTTCTATTTATAGGTTGACAAGAAATGTGCTCTTTTTTTTATGGTGTAACAATAAGTGAAGAACAAGCTCGGTCAGGCATTGTAGTCAGAGTCACCTCAGCCGCACAAAGTAAATTTAAGATATGAGGTTGATTATTCCTTCGGTTGCTCTGGAATTGAAGCTTTTATGTTCTGCATCTCTTTTGAATTTTGGAATATTATTTATAATTCTCTCAATTGCCAAATATTTCTCTACAGCTACTTTTCTTCGAACAAGAAATTGATGGAGGTTATGGACTAGCTCCGCAGGTACTTTTGAGTTTCATGGTTGATGTGTTCTGTGGTTTTGTAATCATTTGCCATGGATTACCACATGCCAATCTTTTATGTTTTTTATGAATGAATAGTGGAAAGACTGGAGGAGTCTCAAAATAACTTTAAGGGAAATTGAATTTGTCATCACCATCACAAGTCTAATTTTCAATAGAAACTTAAAGATGTAGATGTGCTAAAGCAAATGCGACCATTAGCCTGTCACCTCCAAAGCAACTAATCCTGACCTCCTGTCATCAACTGACAACCCTCCTCCCTGTAACAATCATGAAAAGAGCTGTGCCTGTGCAAAGCTCGAATTCCAGCTGAACTTGGCAAACTTGAGCTTTTTGAACTATAAGAAATTTTATCGTGTCTAAGAATTACATTGTATGCTTTATTTTTATTCTGTGCAATTGTTGACCAAATTTTGCATATAGAAATCTTGCCAACAACAATCTTCATGGTCCTATTCCTGCAAACATGTTCTTGCACTGCTCGAAACAAATTTAGCCTGTTGTGATGCAATTCTTTGTTCTGAAACAGAGTGAAACACAAATTCATCTAAAACCAGCATAAAAAAGGAATTTCATTAAGTCCATGCATGTTTCCTACATTCATAAAGAAAAAGCCGGGTTGACTTTCTTTACAATGGATACAACCTACGTTGATTGTATTACATAAGTTTCAAAATTGCAAACACTACTTTCAGGCATCCAAGCTGAGGTGAATCACATGAGACAAAATGGCAGTCTTGCTTTCAATGAAAGCCTTGTTGCTGGTATATTTCTTCATTTTGCCAGTGCAAGACCCACACTGGTCTTCCAGACCACGGAATGGTAGTGCATCAATAGGGCTGCAGCAGGGTGACACACCAGCACCACGGTTATTGGATTCAGGAGTTTGCCAAGAAGCAGCAATTAAATGATTAGCTTCCACCTTTAATTTTGCTGGCAGGTAGTCTGTCGACGGCTTCTTTTTTCCAGTTATGGCAATGTAGCTATTCTTATCAATTCCTCCCCTTTCTGCTATTGCCTGATTGTGCAGGTGTTATCCCAGGCTTCATGGACAACTCCGTCGCCTTGAGGAAATGAGCCTCCTCCATCCCTCCATATGTATTTCCTCCTCTGCTCTGTACTGCTTTGCTCTGCCTCATGCTTGCTGTCATGTGGATGTGCTGCTGCTGACCAATACTAGCTTATTGCAGTTTTCCTTTTTTGTTCAGGCCATTGCATTGCCTCTGAATCTTACTTTTTTTGCGGGGCCTCTGAATCTTACTTACTTTTCAGTGCTATATACAGATTCAGTTACAGGACACATAGTTCCTGGAGATGAAACAAGGTGTTTAGTGCGTATTACATTTACCATTTAGGATTTACATAGCATCATTCACACCTGATTAGCATAAGTTCCAGATAATATTTTATTATCCCCTTTGATGTTTAAGATGGTTGCCTCTTCAGTATCACATCTGGATCCATAGCAATTTCATTTCTATCGCTTTACTTCTCCGTGCAGGGAAAATAGACTGCACCAAGCATCAGTTAACGTACATTCAGCATAAGAGAGTTAAGCCCACTACCTAGCCGGCTCTTTGTTGCCAACTTATTGTGACTACTTTCGATTTTGGTGCAGTAGTTTTGGTTAGTGACTATTATATCATTTTTTCTTAAAATAAGGTCCCACATTATGGCTAGGTGTTGCCGCGAGGGTTGTGAATGTTCTTTACTTCTGATAAAAGTGAAGTGATATTTGTGTAGGTGATGACAAAAGCTACAATTATTCAGGGCTGTCATTCTCTCCTGCAGGTGATCTATTATGCAATTTACTGTTTGCTGTAATTTTACAGTGTCACTGCTCCCACTCTGCTTTTGAAAGCAATATGTCAATAATGGATTACATAAGGAAAGCTTTATTGCATCTGTCAGCTAACATTTCTTACGGTGTTAGGGCCCTTTTGATTCATAGGAGTGGCAAAGAATTTTATAGGATTCAAATTCCAACGGATTTTTCTTCCTATGTTTCCCTTTGGCTTATAGGACTATGTTCCTATGCTTCACTTTCATGGGAAAAATACCAAGAGGTATAACCTCTTTGTAAATTTTCCTTTGTTTTTCCTATGGCACTACCAAAGGGCTCCTATTATCTTTTCCTGTGTTTTTATTCCTGTAGAATTAAAGAAGCACACCACTTTTATTCCTGGGTTTTTCCTATTCGTGTGCTTTGCCTATCCTGTGAATCAAAGGGGCTTTAAGATGCTATGCCGCTATGCATAAGCCACCCTTACTTGTGTCATGACCTACTACTTCCTACTAGCAGTACATTTTTGGTATCCATATGGATCTTTTCTTCATGATGGTTGTCTCTACTTAAAGCTATGCATTATTCATACATGAATATTAAGTGAAAAACAAGCCACTCCCAACTTAACTTTTGTTTGATGGATATGCTAGATAGAAACCTAGGTGTATGTTCTTGGTCTCTTAGGTCGTTGTGTCACACAATGTTGTTTGTTGATGAGCTCCCTATATATATTGTTAGGTCAATTATGTTGCCCAACAAGTTTTTTGTGCTAATGTGAGGTTACTAGGCTCACAGTCCTTTAGATATATGGATTTGGTTTTGTTATGGTGACAGTTCGGTTTTGGATGATTGGATTGTTTTATTTTTTCATAAGCCCAGCAATATGATATAAAATAATGTTATTGAATATGTGAAGATTAGTGGCCATACAGAAACGCATGCCAAAACGACATATTTTCCAAAACTGAATTGTCTTCCTATGAGTTACATCCAATTTCTGATCCATATGTATCGTTGCTAAACAGTACTCCCTCTGTCCCATAATATAAGGGATTTTGAGTTTTTGTTTGTAACGTTTGACTACTCGTCTTATTCAAAAATTTTTGAAATTATTATTTATTTTATTTGTGACTTACTTTATTATCTACAGTACTTTAAGCACAACTTTTCGTTTTTTATATTTGCAAAAAAAATTTGAATAAGACGAGTGGTCAAACGTTACAATCAAAAACTCAAAATCTCTTATATTGTGGGACGGAGGGAGTACTATGTATGGTGGTTTAATTTTAATGGTTGCAAATCTTGGTTTCCCTGTAAGTAGCTAGCTAGCATGATTTTTTTTGTCAGGCATAGTTTACTCTTTTAACGGGCAACTTGTTTATAAACAAACAGCTCACGGGATGTTGGTCTTATGTCATTCTAGAGCACTTTTCAGAGTTTAATATGACACAAAGGCTTTCCAAACGATGGCGATGCCTACGGATAATCATTTTCCTGCTGCTCTTACATATTTCTATATATTATATATTCTTTTATTTACTTATTTATTTTGACTGATAAGAGCTGGAGACTGCGCTATATTTCATAATATATATTCTTCTTTTATGTTTGATCCATTTAGTTTGGTGCTCCCACTCTTCAGTCGGTGCTGCTTTATAACGAAACTATTATGTGCATTATATCGTCCGACATAAGTATAACCATTTCATGTTTGCAGGACCAAAGCTGCCATTCATACTGCTGTGCTTTTGTTGTGGATTGAACTAGCAGGAGAGAAGAATGCACATGAACTTATAAATGGACCATTTCCGGTAGCCACGAGTTCTCACTAGAAAAAGGCAGCTACTTTATTTGTCCTGTATATTAGTATATTGTTTATTAATCAATGTAAATGATCACTGACGGAGTACATGTATATGCATTAATCACCTAATCGTTCTGTAATATTTTCTGTTTAATTTTTTTTGCTGCGCGGCGTAGCGCGCAAACCCTTTCTAGTAATAGTAATGTTAACTTTGATTACTGGATATATGTGGCATTGATGAAAGGTGGAGATATGGGATCATGATCTAAAAATTGAAATATGAGAATGACCAGTAATTTGGAACTTTGGAACTGATGAAGTAATATATGTTTACACAAGTTAGTTTAACCCATAAAAAAAATCTTTCAAAAGAATGGAAACTAATTTTGTGTTTGTCCCAGAAGAATGGAATTTAATTTAATGTTTGTCCCAGATAAATGAGAAAAACCAAAGTATGATGTAATTAGTGTTTGCCAATAATTGGACAAATGATTAGAGATGCTATTAGAAAAAAAACGTAACGTTTCCTCAAAATTGTGGCAATTTTATTAACCAAAAAATCGTGCATATGGTATCAATAATAAAATGCACATTCGAAGAAATATTATTTCTTAGTATTGCAAATTTTTCATCCAAACTTTCACCATATTTCTGTTATATAGTTTTCTTAATATTTATTTTGTAGAAATATAGGATATCAATATGACTCAATTTTCGGTTTTAACCATAATGTATTTTATTTATTCAGATAAATTTTGCAAAATTATTTATACTTTTCTCTTTGTTATTTCTTTACTTTCCTTTATCCTATTTATGCTTGGTTTTGTGTGCACCATTAGCTTGAGAAGGCAACAATGCAAGTGCTGCTGTAGCAACGGCACTGGACCACCAGGCCCCAGGGCAGGCACGGGTGACTCGGCTGTACACGCCAATGCACCTTTTCTTTCGTTTATTATTTTTTTTCATTTCACGATGAAACGTCCAGGCTCTTTCCTCCAAATGGACACGTGGCGGATTCCTGGAGGGGGTATTGCCAAATTTAGAGGGCTCCACGTGGCCCAATAGGAAGCTAGAGTTTGGTCCTTGAAATCGGTTCTAGAGATTGGGCGGCTCCGATATGGTAAAATCTTGAAAATTTCGATCCTGAAATTTGGAACAAAATTTAGTCAAATGTGAACAAATATTACCAAAATTCACGAAAAAATTAAAAAATTGAAAATTCCGGCTGAAATAATATCGTATCAGAGGGGTCCCAAATTACCAAAATTTCAAAAATTTCAGTCCGAAATGTGGAACCCTAGCGATGACGCTCAAGGGTCCCTGGGATGATGTCGTTACGACGGCGTGCATCGGCGGCAAGCTGATGCTGGCGGAGGCATAGGTTGATATGGTGTGCTTGATGTTGAGGTGGAGTCCTGAACGTGGCGGCGGCATTCGCTGCCACCGACGCTGGAGCCCGGAGGCACTGCTCACCTATTTTACTCTAAAGCTAAGACCGTGAATCAAGGTAATCCCTTCGTTCTTTTATAATCCCTCTAGTCGCAAAAGACACAATGGGTTGGGTGCGGGAGGTCACGCTTCTCCAGATGGTCGGTCATCCAGCAAGGTCGGTGAGCGACCAACCAAAGAAAGTAGCGGCACCGAGGGAGAGCGAAAGATTTCCAGATCAGCAAGTGCTAGAAAGGGATCCTACCAGAGGAAAGAGCAAGATAGGCTTAGCAAGTGGAGTACGACCTTGAGCTATCCCACTTCCAGAGGAAGGAATCAGGCACTCAGGCTAGCCTTCTGACAGTATAGTGGCCCGAACCATCAGCCAAATCAACATATACTGCAGGATCGCATGCATCCCAAAGAACCACATGGAGCTCGCGGATCCATCTGTTGTTGGTCTGCGACCTTGAGCCTTCAGCGGACGAACCCCGGGATGCGACCATAAAGCTTGGCTGATCAGTGATCAGCGCGACTACCAAGGCTGTGTTTAGTGTTAGAGTATATGGCAGTTAGAGTCATATTAGGATATGATTGGTTTGTTTGGATTCCTTCCATATCTGTAATCCTTTCTTATATCCTTCCCATGTACTCCTATATATATCGGCCCCCGAGGCTCAATACAATGTGTCCCACGTTACGCAGTATACCTCTCCCTATGCTATCCAACATGGTATCAGAGCGGGCGATCTAGTCGCCTCTCTCAAGCTTCCCTAGTCGCCTCTCTCAAGCTTCCGCTTGTCACCCCTGGGGGTTTTGATCTCCCGGGGGCGGCCAACCCGTTTTTTTCTTTTCTTTTTCGTCGTCGTAGTTCGCCGCCGAGAAGATCAATCCCGATCCACTCGCGCGGTCCGTCTTCGTCATCATCTATTGTCGAGAAATCGATCTCCTGGACGTCTTGGTGTCTTCATCGTCAAGCAGCAGTAAAGGAACACACGGCCACCTGCCATTGTCGTTGTTGACGGGATCTGGAGGAGGAGGTCGCGGCTCCGTCGCCAGCACTCGCGGGTCACCGTTAGGCCACCCACCGGTGTTGCTGTCTTCCGCGCTGCCGTGGTCCCCGTCGCCGGCGCCCCCTGACGCCCTTCGGCTCTAAGGCCGTCACCGCCTCCACTTACCCCGTCCACGCCGGCCCGCCTTCGTGACCGCCTGGCAAGCTGCCAGCCGGCCACGACGCTCTCCTTCTGCCGCTGCCGGGGGGACGCGGCCTCCGTCACCAACATCGTCGCCCCGCCGGCGCTGCTGGTCGCTGCCGGCTGCTACCTCCCCGCCGGCATCTGGTGGCTGTGCCGACGCCATTGACGGGGAGGGCTCTTCTCCACCACTTGCGCCCACCGCCGGCTACCGACTCCACCGGTGTGCTCCCCACACTGCCGGCCCGCGCCGCAGGCCTGCGCTCGTGGATGCGTCATCTGGACTCTACTGCCATCGGGGGATGGCCGCTATGGAATTTTTTTGAGAATTAATATTATTTTTATGGAAAATCGCAAAAGTAGTGGTCAACCGGGGAAAATCGCGAAAATAGGTCCCTGTCGAACGGGTGCAGTTCGATAGGGCGCCTATCGAACGGCCAGAGCGCGACTGGCGAGGAGATCGGAAGGCTGCCGTTCGACAGGACCTGTCGAACAGCCCCCGTTCGACAGGCAGGGCTGTCGAACAGCCCCCGTTCGACAGGCTGGGCTGTCGAACTGCCGCAGTTCGACAGCAGTTCGACAGGGTCGTGTTCTCCATTTATTTGTAATAAGTTATTTTTTTTAATAATATGTAATTTATTTTAGTGTGTAAGAAAGGAAAATATTTTTGTAATGTTATATGTATGTGACATATATTATGATAATGTTTGGTCAGAAATTGTAGTATTTATTTGTTGGTTAAAATATTTGAATTATTTAGTTTCATTATTTGTATATTTGAATGATAATTTGTCATGATTCATTCGAAGGGTATGCTACTGAGTAATTATCCGAAGAAGTTTATGAAATAGTACTGATAGTACTAAGTTAATCGTAAAGTGTTTCTCAAATAGTACGGACAGAACATAAATGACTAAAAGTTTAATACAAATAGATAAGTCAAGGACGATCAGTGCCCTTCGCACGCTTGCTAGGTCCTCCCTTCTTCCTACGCCTAATCTGCTCAGTGGGATATGTCAAATTATCAGGGGGTGCCTATCTCTAGCTGCCTGCTGTGGTGTCACGTCTGGCCCCTGACCGGCCTCCGTCTCCTGCGTCGGCTGTGTGACCTGAGGTGCTGCGTGCCAGTAATCCATCCCTACTTCCCCCTGGGGAGGATCAGTGGAAAAGAAGTCCTCAATGAATGCTGTGCGAGGGGAGTAAGCAGGCACTCCGTGATGCGTCGACGCCGAACCGTACTCATCGTCTGTTTGTACAAGAGGGAGAAACCAAAAAATATGGCGTAGTTAGTAACGATACATATAATTAGAAACTAAAACGTGTTATTGTTTAAAATGACTTACATGTGTGCTGTGTGTGGCCCTGCTCTGGCGCACGCGGAGTGATATGAAGTCCCCATGCTGGTGTGTTCAACACGTTGTCCCCCGTTGGCATGTAAGGGAAGTGTGCCGACCCAGATACTCCCTGTGAGGGGTGAACATAAGGCGGAGTTTGGAATACCTGCGGACGTGGTGGTGCCGTGCTCGACGTGGGTACCCCTGATCCGGCTGACCCCCTGGTGTACTCCGGTGTTGGGGTGTGCTGAAAGGAAGGATGACCGTGAGATGTGTGGGCCGCTTCGTACCCGCGACGTGAAGAGGATGGACCACTCCGATCCACGCTGGAACGTCGGGGTAGTGGTGGTGATGGCCGTCGGCCCGACGTCTGCACCACATCTGCCGCGCTCCGACAGGAGACACGACGTAGTAGTGCGGCAGCACGTGCACGGAAGTTGCGAAGGACACTCGCCACGTCGTCAGGCCTGACGACTGGAGGTCTCGCCTCTAGTCTTTGCAGCAGGGTGTCGGACTCCACGTGAACGTGCTCAACAAATTCCGCCTGTTCCACAAATAATCAAGGCAATTAAAATTATTTAACCAGTTGCACATTTATTAAGAGTATTTAACAAGATGCACATTTGTTAGAAATAATGAACCAGTTGCACATCATTTATAAATACTGAACTAGTTCCACATTTATGTAAGAAAAGGAACTAGGTGAACCAATTGCACATTTATTAGACATACTGAACTACTTGCTAACTTTTTAAAAATATTGAACTAGTTGCTCAAATTCCACAAATAAACACGTACCATTGAGTTGTAAGCTGATCTAGGCTGAGGGGCAAACGTGTCAGTAATCGCTGCCTGGTGGGGGACGGTGCTATCTCCTTGTGGAGGAAAACACCTCCATCGTGTAACACTGCGGTACCAACGAAGGTAAGCTCCATAATAACTCCCATCGTCTGGAGGTGTCTGAAGTGCCAAGTTATCAGCTGCGTGCTCCCACTCTTGTATCGTCGGCTGAACCGTGGTCACAATAACTAGCTCGTAGGAAAGCCCGAGCCCCTTTCTGGAGTACCTGCACAACAACAAATTCACACATCAGAAAAAATGTTGTGCAATGATTTATTTTAAAAAATGTAGGATTAAACAACTGTGATGTGAACTAACCTATGAAGACTATCAGCCAAAGGACGACCATCTCTCGGAGGGAAGTCCTGATACATGCCCAACTGTTTGAGAACCCTGTGGACATTGTGTGGCTCGACGTGCACGTCCACCACAAGGTGACAAGTCGTCCTCCAGAGTTGCATATCTCGCGTGCAAAGATCCGCGAGACCGTGCGGTGCACGATCATTGACATCGTGCTGAGTGTAGGGAGTCCACCGAACACGGTCAGGCGTAAGCTGATCAAAGTCAGCTACAAACTGAGTGTAGACACGACGTGTCGTCCCGCTAACCCACTGCGGCTGTAACAAGTAGTAGTTTTCATTAGTCATATAAGGAAAGTTTGTGAACTAGTATTCATAATGATAACATAAACGAATTTAACAAAAATTACCTCACGGTGTGTCCACAAGGATCCCATAGTGGGACGATCGTCGATGTCATCAACACCAGACCTGTACATCTCTCGCAAACCGTAGTTTGCGTACGAGTCAAGCTGAGGCCTCCCAATGTCGAAGCGCTCGTGCGCCCACAACATAAGTAGCAACGGGCATCCAGGGAGTGAACTTTGCTTGCTGTTCCTCACGCAAGCATCACACAGTCCGGCATATGTCGCCGCAAGTACCGCCGACCCCCAACTGTACTGTGGAATCTCCGCAATAGGTAACTCTGCAATCTGCTCCGCAAAGTGGATGAAGTGCTTGTCCACGGAGTCAGCGTGAGTTCCCGTGAACATCACCCATCCAAACAACCACAACAGGTAAGCGACTAAGTGCCGCTGCACGATCCACTCCTCCTGGTCATCAGGGAAGACATCCTGTCGAAACTGATTCAACCAACTTTTCGTAGGCCCGTGCCCATCTGTGAGATCCTCCAGTGCAACAGGCAGCACACCACCAAAACTGGCCAGAAGGTCATCCGCCCATCCAGCATTCACCATTGTTGGGCCAACTGCTGGCCTAGCTATCGGCAGCCCCAACAAATAAGACACATCCTGCAGAGTGGGCACCATCTCTCCAACTGTGAGGTGGAAAGTGTGGGTCTCAGGCCTCCATCTATCGACAAGAGCACTCATAAGCGCCGCGTCAATGTGGATTCGTTCGGACCTTGCACGTGAAGGCTCGACCAACCGTGCAAACGTCAATAACCCAGCTGCTCTCAGCCTACAACATGACAGAGCGCAAGTTATTAATACATGAAAATATAAACACCTTGTATTAGTAAAAACAATATATTTTCACACACCTTGGAACCCAACGAGGATCAATATGCCAATATTGATCCGGTCCTCGCATCTTTAGCACATTGCAGAAAGTTCCTGTACTAAGACGTCGCGATCGATGGTTCCTATCGATCTCCTTGTCTATCAGCTGCCCATCATTTTGATCAGCCATACCTGCAGATCGAAAACCACATTAGTACAATGCACGTATGGTAACAGTACAATAAATGTATGCAACATAATTCAAATAACAAATTTGCATGCCATTTCAATTTAAAATTACAGTACCAGCACACATAGATACAGATAAGAACAGTTCAGTACATTTCAATTTAAAATTACAAGCCCACGACACATATATTATGATATTACAAGTGCAGTGCAGTTCGAAATTTAAATTACAATTCCAATACAAATACATGACGATATTAAAAGTGCAGTGCAGTTCAAAATGAAAATTACAAGGCCATTACAAATAGATTCGGGTAATAAAAGTGCAAGAAAGTTCAAATTAAAATTACAGACGCACTAAACATAAATTGAACGATAACGATCTTCAAAGTAGGGAGTCCACCAAGGATAATAGCGAACTAAGGATTATTTTTCTTCTTCGACTTCCCCTTTGGAACGCGACGAACATCAGCGCCTGTGGCATCTTGCCCTACATTGTACATGCTGCAATCTTTACGGGAATGGTTCTCCCCGCAAAGAATGCAAGCTTTCTTACGACGAGAACGATCTTTCACTTCAGCTTCATCCATAAGGTTCTTGATCCTGCGCGACTGGCGACGACCCTTAGTATCAACTAATAAATTTGAGTCAGGAACCCAATTGGCTTGCCCTGGAGGAGGACGAGTGAAATCACACACGGCACGCCAACCACGCAATTCACCACGCCAAGTTGCCTCCCACGATTCCTTTCTAAAGTAGGGAGAAACAAAAATGTTTCCATCAACACCCCCTTTTGCGGAAGCAGCAAGAACATGGGAACATGGCCGATGTAACAGGTAAGGCTTGTTGCAATTGCATTAGCAAGCGTGATACTCTGGCCACAACGTGCATTCCAATGTGATGTCAGTAGTCCCAATACCGACACCACTCTTGTCACGAAATCGTATCTCAAATAACAACTCTCTATTCCCAGCAGGCCACACTCTGTGGATTCCTCCCTTCTTACTTTTCTCATCCATGTACTGTGTAATAGCGGGGCTATACTTAACACTGGGTTTGCTGAGGTTCAGACTAGCCATGGAATACCTTTTACAGAGATACTTCTGTGTACCCCTCGTGATGCCCTCCAGGATAGCAACAAGTGGTAGAGGTCGTGTATTCTTCATAAACCAGTTATACACTTCAGCAAGATTTGTTGTCATCACACCATACCTCGATCCATCTGTATCGTACAACAACGACCATTTCTCCCTTGGCTCAAATTCTACCCACTCCGTGAAGCACTTCGTGGCCCTTCCACGCTTCCTGCGCCGAGTAATACTTGGTGCTTCATTAGGAATGGGTTCAAGTCCCTCCGGCTCCTCCTGTCTGGCAACTATGGGTTTTTTCCTAACCTCTTCCATGTGTGTAGTGGTCAAACGATCCAGTTGCTCCCATATGGCATCAAACTTTCTTTGTTGATTCTGCTTGCATAACTTCTTGAACAGGTCCATCAATCTCTTACTCCTGAATTGTCTATAAAAATTAGCTCCAAAATGTCGCATGCACCATCTGCTATGTAAATCTGGCCATGGCACGGACTGTGTGACATCTTCTTGAAGCTTCTGTATCGCTGATAGCAAACCGGCGTGTCGGTCATGCAGAACACACACATTTGGTCTGTTTTCAACAACACACATTTTAATGTGCCGCAAAAACCATAGCCAGCTTGATGTGTTCTCGCTTTCAACAAATGCAAAAGCAACAGGAACGACATGGCTATCCGCGTCGACTCCGATCGCGGTTAGAATTGTTCCTCTGTACTTGCCTGTCATGAAAGTGCCATCAACACAGAGCAAAGGAATGCAATTTTTAAAGGCCTCTATCATGCACCCAAATGACCAGAAAGCCCGACGAAGAACATTCTCCCCATATTCATTCACCTCATCGAGAATAGCCATGTGTGTGCCTGGGTTTCTTGCCTGCATCACCTCCAATAGTGGGGGAAGATTGTGATAAGAATCCTCATAAGTTTCAAACCTCATCTCCAATGCTTTCTGTTTTGCCCTCCAAGCCTTGTCGTACGATATCTCATATCCGTACTCTTTCTCAACGTCATGCATTATGGTGAAAGGGGACAAAGATGTTTTTCTAACCACCTTTGAATATACCATTTGTGCCACAAATGCCGCTGTCAGGTTTCTGTGCACCAGACGGGTATTCTCCAACAAACACGTATGTTGCTCAACCCTCGAAGCTACCCATAAAGTGTCATGTTGTGGCTTGTAACCATGCACTCTCCAAGGACATCCACCCTGTATGCACTTCACGTCATACGTCGTCCTATTTGAAACCTTCACCCTGAACTCACGCTTCTGGACAAATGCCCACCTCTTCACCGCATCTTGTAAGTGACCTTTGTCATGAAACATCTGTCCAACTTTCACCTGCTTACTATCATAACACCAGTGGGCATCTAAACCATCGTTTACCTTCATACGACTCATTGATATGGTCGTCCAATCATCGGGTATGTTAGTTTCGTTGTCCCACAGTGTTGTATCTTCTCCTTCCACTACAAGCGCAATGTATTCCTCGTTTTCCACTTCCATCTGATCCACTACCGCCTCATTCTCCTCCGCTGCATCAACACGCATAGGCGAATCCGGTTCTTCATCGTCCGAGTCGTTGGCCTCACGATTAGTACCACGAACAATGACCTCTCCTTGTGTATTACCCTCTACTACTTCTTCCCCTCGACCTTGCTCAGTCCGCCAAACATTTTCAGCTTGTCCACCTTCCAACGGAGTTTCTTCCACCACGGCATGACTTGACTCCCCCGATCGATCAACACATGTTGTCTTCTGCACCACTATTGCCAGGCTATAGCCTTTCTCCCTTACTTTACTAACAAACTTCCTCCAACTCCTAGTTGACGCAACCTCCACTACTCTCCACTGCCATCCATGTTGACCCCTCACTGGCCACACGGCATTTATGACAAATTTATCGTGCACTGGATCTACCCCAAACATATTATACAACCACCCTAACACGTCGTTCAAACCCATATGCTCCGGTGCATTCAGACTAGTATCATGGAAGGCATATACAGTCAAATCCACCCCGCTATCACATATTTGTATAGGAGCATCGCCATAATACAGACGAATGGGCATATCACCTGACATCCTGATAAAACATGACAAATAGTCTCACGTTTAATCATTTAATCATTCGATAATTACCCTATTACAACTTATACTACATTGCCGTGTACTAATTTACAACTATTAGTAACAAACAACTAGTTTAATAATCCAAATAAAATATAACACCTTTGTACATATTTTAACACACAACATATCAATAATATGTACTAACTAAGAACTAATTTAACCGTACAATTACTTAAATACCTCTACCAACATTTAGCAATAACAAATGTATGCTAACCATACATACTAACATCGAACAATGCGAAACAATTAACAACTCTTAAACCAATTTTTTATTAAACTTTCATATGCATTGTACTTAGGGATTACTAATGTATACCTTAACTTCACTGCTGGAGGGCGTCGCCAACCCTTTCCTCCCGGCCGGCGCCTCCTCGGCCTCCTCTCCGGCCTGCTATCCCCTACCCTCGCTCCCTCCGGCGCTCACGGCGACGATGTGGCGACTCTCGGCGGCGGCTGGCGATGTGGTCCTCAAACAAATCGAACAAGCATCACGGGCTGGGGGGACGGGGCTTTAAACCGGCCTGTCGAACGCCCATTGTTCGACAGGGTCGGTGGAGGGACCTGTCGAACGCCCCCGGTTCGACAGGCCTGGCGGCGCGGGGTGGTGGGCCCTGTCGAACTCCCTCCGTTCGACAGGTGACCGTGTCGAACGCCAGCCGTTCGACAGGGCTCTATCGACTGCTCGTCGTTCGATAGGTGCCCTATCGAATTGCACCCGTTCGACAGGGACCTACTTTCGCGATTTTCCCCGGTTGGCCACTACTTTTGCGATTTTCCATAAAAATAATATTAATTCTCAAAAAAATTCGCCGCTATGGACCAGCCGTCCATGCTCCTCTTTGCTTTGTCTCACTCTGCTTCAGTTCTTCTGGATAAGGAGCAGGGATAGAAGGGGTAAGAGTGTCCGTGGACTTAGTCTATGGCAATGGACTTGGTCTATGGAGCATTGAGCACTTTGGGCTGGTTACTGTGCTTTCCTGCTGCTTGTCTCTTTTCTTCCCGTTCAGAGAACGGGTTTGCGTCGCCCACTGCCTCATCGACATCTACGCGTCTCCGACATCGGCATCGACTCTACTTCGACTTCATCGTTTAGCCCGACGCATCTTCGGCTTGATCACCCGTTCAGGCGCCCGGCAACAACGACTTCTGCAACCGATCGTCATCGAGCACGCGTCTACGCCATCAAGCTTATGGTTGCCGCTGCGTCGCCCTCTTGGGCCACAGTGCCGCTGCCTATGGTCCACACCTCCACTGGTTGTTGCAGTGCTGAGAGGTGCCCTCCTCTCAGCATAGCTACATCATCGGTGGACTTCTCGTCGCTGCATCGACATGGAGCTGTAGCTGTATTGTCCTCTCGGACCGCAGTTTCGCCGCTCTCGTCGTCATCATCGTCGCCTG